CGGTACCGGGCGGCAGGAACAAAAGGGGTCCTTGTTTCACGTCGTTCCCGGGTGATTTGCGAGCCCGGCACACCCAAACGCGGCGGAACCGGCAGGATCAAAGGAGCTCGTACAGCAGGAGACACCGGAATCACCCCGTGCCCGGCGCTTAGGGGCAAAGCCGGGGGCAGCGAGTGAAACGGCAACACTCCTGCATGGCCCCCGGGGTGAGGTCACCGACCACGGAACAGCGACAGTGGCGGGGGCACAGTCGGTCCCCACGGCCTGGCTGTGCCTGTAACTGCTCCATGCTCATCCCAGCACCTGTCTGGGAACAAAACATCCCGGGGAGAGTCACAGCCTGCACGTGGGATCATGAGGACAGTCTGACCATCTGTCCCCATGGCACTGGCACAGGTGTGAGGTGCCTCCAGATACCACCAGGGCCCTGACAAGGTGTCAGCGACGGTGCAGCATTTCCTGTCCAGGTCACACATTTGCCCATCGCTGATTTCAGCTTTCCCACTTCCTCCTGAACTCCTATTTATAGAAGTTCATGGTTTCAAATGACTTTTTTCTGTCACTCGGGCTGGTTTGGTGGCTGATCCCTGCTTAGTGGCCCAGGCAATGCTGTACCAGCTGCCCGTGGCTTTTATTATTGCTTTTCAGAGGCCTTGATGCAGTGCTCACAGTCACATCCCAGGCCAGTGTCTCCAGAACGCAGCCCCTCAGGAGCAGAGACAGGAATGGGGGGAAAGTGGTGTCCGAATCTTTGAACAAGAAAGCTCTTGTTTGAGGAATGTGGTGCTGGAGGCCAGTGTTTGCCAGCAGGGTCTGCCTCCCGCTCAGAGCCGGTGCCTGCAGTCAGACCCTGCCCTCTGCAGACTCACAGGGCGGGGGGGGGATTTTCTGGAAGCATCTCTCAAAATGGAGGAACGGCGCCCTGTAGCCAGTACAGGATATATCCTGGGAATTGTATTTCTGCAGACAGGGCAGGAGGGGCTGGTGGAACTATGTGCGGAAGCAGGAAGAGAGCTGAAGAGGTGCTGAGAATGCTCTTGTACAGGGCAGAGGAGGAGGGAAACAAACATCTCAGAGAACAGGAAAACTGAAGTGCTGGAAAATGATGGATCCACCCCCCAGGCCCCTGCTAAGGAGGGTGGGACAAGCTCCATGATTTCTGGCAGCCACGAGCTGCTGCTGCTCCGCTCAGCTCTGTCCTGCAGCCAGATGTGTTGAGTGCAGCTTCAGCCCTTCCTGCCCGACACACCCCGGCAGTGCCCCCACGCTGGCCACAGCTCTGGCGGTGCCCCACACCTGTGTTTGGCCCCCCAGCTCCAGGGAGGGATTCCCGAGGGAGCAGGGAAGGGGGCAGGAGTCAAGTGTAAGCACTGCTGTTCTGTATCCTGTTGTTTTCCTACCAGGATTGTTGCAGTTTCCTGCACTGTCTTATCTGGAGCAGGGAAGCCAGCGCTCTCCAGTTTGCTGGTGTGTGTCAGTGTGTGTCCCGGGTTCTAATCTGCAAAACAGGCGTTAGAGCCCCTGAGAGGAACCAGCCAGGGCTGTCACAGGGCAGGGGGACAGGGACAGAGGGGGCAAAGGGCTTTTAGTGCCTTGAAATGAGTGTCTTTATTTGGTGCTCCTGTTTGCACAAGGCTGTGTGTGTCACACGGGTTTGGGCCTTCGGCACACCCAAGAGGGACAGGGAGGAAGATCCCGATGGTGACATTCTGAGGTGATTCTGTGTTTGACAGACTTTACAGGAGGATAATTTTTAGAAAATGCTGAGCGTGCTTTCCCCCATCCCCAAAGGCTCAAAGTACAAACAGGAAAGTCTTAAAGCAAAAAGACCATTTCCGTGTTTCAGTCAGCCCGGAGTTCAGTCTCCCCGAAACGCTGGAGACTCCTGTGAAGTTACTTGGCCATATTTTCTGTAATACAGAGGTAAAATCTGCATCCACAGCACTGAGGCCTGGAAAGCTGTGCAGAGGAACAGGGCCTGAGAAAGCCAAATCTTGTAGATTTAAAAAAAACCAACCACCTTTTTTCCTCGAGTGAACCTGAATTTGTCTAACTATGTGTTTTAGCAGTGCACTGAATTCCCCATGGGTTAAAAAAAATTAAATCCTTTACTGTACAGCTCTGGAATGTCCTGTTTTCAGGACAGAAAGGTGTAGGTCCTGCACACAGTGTCCATTATCAGATGGGAGCCTCTCCTGGAAGGAAAATTAACCCAACACGTCGGCTCCCAACCACGCAGACACTGAACCAGGCACAAGGCTCCAAAACAAAACTCCCTCCCCACAGGCATCCCAGGGTTGTTGGAAGCAGGTAAAAACTGTGGCAGTGATCAAGATGGATTTTTATTATTTAAAGAGAAGATAAGTATGCCAGTTCAGCCTTTGGGGGAAGGATGGGTCATTTTTCTCACTCAGCTGTGACTGTGAATCCAGGCCAATTCCACTTGCCATTCCTTTGGGGCACTCCCAGCTGCTGGAAGTGTGGGGGCTGCAGTGGGCTGAAGGGTCTGTAGCTGAGCACCAGAATCTGTGCTGGGAACTAAATAGCAAGAGAAAAAAAGGGTTTTTTCCCCGAGCCATCAGGAAGAGGAAGACATGTGTCTGGAGATAAGGAAAGATAAAAGCATTCCACTTGCAGAGGCCTGTGATAGGGATCAAGATGTTCATCTGCCAAGTCAGTAATTTTGTGGCCTTATAACCATGTGGAGCTTCCGTTCCTGTTACCTTTTCCCACACTGACTGAAGGCACTGGATTATTGGCATGGAAGTTCCTTTGAGTCTGTCCGAGCAGCTCAGCCCTTTCAGGGAATTGCACAGGCTGAACTCAGAGATAAAACTCTCTTTGACTTCAGGAGGGAAAACAGTTCTCCCTGGAGTTTAGGTGCAGCTTTTGGGGGCTCAGCAGGCACAGTCTGTGAGCTCCCTGGCCTGGGGAGGTGGGAACAGGTCAGACACCTCTGGGGAGAAGCTTGGGCAGAGCCACTTTCTGTGAGGGGTCAGGATAGCCAAAACAGCTGTTGGAGGTGACTCCCTGCCCTGTTTGCTGGCATCCATCAGGCGTGAGCTCACGGGGACAGTAGATCCATCCAAGGCCTTGATTAACGTCAGGAGCTCAAAGTGCATTTGCTGCTTCCAAACAGGCTTTTATTGTCTGATTTTTGGTTAAAGCAGCAGTAGATTTCTGTAAAAAATGCTCTGTAAATCCTGGCTTTGCACATTCCACACGCTGGCACACACAACAAGCAAGCATTCAGGCTAAAATTATCCGTGCTATCATTAGGCAGGAACACATGGATTGATGGAGCCTAAGTGCAGAAGAGAGCTGTGCTGTTGTGCTGCAGGCAGGCTCACCCCAAAGGGAGCAGTTCCTGTGCTTCCCAGTCATTCCCTGTCGGCACCTGCTAGAGGTGTGACCTGTTCCCTTTGGACAGGAGAGCCGGTGGGTTGGGCTGGTGGTGGGCGGGCACTGAAGGCCCCAGGCACCAGGGACGCCGGGCACAGCCTCTGCCCTGGGGCCGGCACTCCTGCGGCACAGCCGTTCCTGCCCCAGCGCTGCCAGGTCTGCCTTCAGCGTAACCCACACTCCTGAGATCAATCCCTGCGGACAAGCACCGCGTTCACGGATTACAGAGCAGCCCTGCAGCTGTCAGCTGGGATGGGCTTCTCCCGTGTTCCACAGCTCACCGGCAGAGCAGGAGCCCCGGGGCTGCAGCTGCCGTACCTGGCAGTGGGTGCTCAGGTGTGCTGGGCTGTCCTCACTGACCGCCAGCCAGGGCCTGTTCTCACCAAGAGCTGTGTCACATTTAGGCCAGAACTGCTCAAAGAACCAGTGTAGACATGGGTCCTGTGTCCAGTGTTTTCAGCCTGGCTTCTTTTACCTCGACTAATTGCAAAGCTTTTAATTAATCATGGCCCGAGACGCCTGGAGCACAGGCTCCACTCCGGCCTGCGAGCGCACGGTGTCAGTCACGGAGGGTGACACGGTGTCAGTCACGGAGGGTGACACGGTGTCAGTCACAGCGGGTGACACGGTGTCAGTCACGGAGGGTGACGCGGTGTCAGTCACGGAGGGTGACACGGTGTCAGTCACGGAGGGTGACGGTGTCAGTCACGGAGGGTGACGCGGTGTCAGTCACAGAGGGTGACGCGGTGTCAGTCACGGAGGGTGACGGTGTCAGTCACGGAGGGTGACATGGTGTCAGTCATGGAGGGTGACGCGGTGTCAGTCACGGAGGGTGACACGGTGTCAGTCACGGAGGGTGACGGTGTCAGTCACGGAGGGTGACGCGGTGTCAGTCACAGAGGGTGACGCGGTGTCAGTCACGGAGGGTGACGGTGTCAGTCACGGAGGGTGACATGGTGTCAGTCACGGAGGGTGACACAGTGTCAGTCATGGAGGGTGACGCGGTGTCAGTCACAGAGGGTGACGCGGTGTCAGTCACGGAGGGTCCCGGCTGCTGTGGTGCCGAGGGTCCGTTACGTGTTCCCTGTGACACAGAGACAGGAAGGAATGTCCAGGCTGCTACATGGAGCCTTCCAAATAGATGGGAGAGTTTCAGTCTCTAGTATAAATACGAGTTAAATGTGCAAATCCTTCAGTTGGGAAACCACCTCTTGTTACTGTTTGCACAGTCAGAGAATGTCAGATTGAACCAGCCTCGCTATTCCTGGTTCTCTCTCTGCAGTTCAGCACTCGGAGACACAGAGCTTGCCAACCACAGAGTGCTGAAGGAACAACTCACAGAGTTCAGTTTGTAAAATCCTATTTTCAGTGTTTATATTTCGTTTCTGTTTTGTTGGTGCTGCAGAGGCTGATCCTGCAAATATTTACTCCAGTCAGGTTTTGTGTTTGGAGTTCCTGGGAACCCAGGGAGCTCAGCCCAGGGAGGGCACGGGCCTGAAGTGGTCTTTGTTCTGGGCTGAGCTTGGAGAAGTTCAGTTGCCTCTGCTGGTCAGGGTTTTTTTAATATATATACACACATATATATACACATACATACATGTATTTAGACACACACGTGTGATAATTATTTCAGGTGCTGAGAGAGAAAGGCCATTCAAAGAGTCACTTACTGATCTCCACCTGAGAGAAGGCTCAGCGACACAGAAAGCAGCAGCATGGTGAGTGTTCTGTTATGGCATAAATGATCCCACAGACAGAAAGAATGAACAAATTGGTTTGTGAAAGGAATCATGAGAGGAAATTGCCGATCTACAATTATCACTCTATTGGGGAGGGACAGAAACAGCCCCAGGACTGCTCTTCTCTGCACAGCCCCTCTCACTCATGTTCTTTCCAACATGCCTTTGCAGAACAAGAGCTCTGGTGATGGAGAGTGCAGCAAAGCCAGTTCCCTTCACACAGGTCTCTCCAAACTTGTGATCTGGGCACACAGTCACGGGACCATATGCAACGAGATCCCAGCCCTGGAATTTATACAGAACACGGGTCACCTGAGCAGGGACAATGCTATGCTGTGGATGTGCAGAGTCGGACATGCCTATCACTGGCAGTATGAGAAGTTACATGACAGAGACAGAGAAGGGACTGAGGCTGTAGGAAGGAAAAGGAGGCCCCAGTTTTCCGAGGCTTCAGCAAGGGAAGATAGCTTTGGGGAAAAGAGGCTCAGGCTGACCCCATCATCTTTTGAGAGGGCTCAAGCAGATGTTGGGAGCACAGGGTCATGTGGCAGATCCCCAGGAGTCACTCAGCAGAAGGCTGACACAGCCTATGCAAGGCATAAGAAGCCATCACCCAGAGGGAGTCAGAATACCAGGGAACTGATGACACCTTGCTCTGCAGCAGAGCAGCACTTGGCAGTCGCTGGGCTCCAGACTGGTGGTCAGAACGTGAAGCTCAAAGATGACGATGACGTACTGATCATCTCCGACGAAGAGCAGTGCGCGGCAGTTAAAGACAACCGAGGAGACAGAATCAACCAGAATAATGTGTCAGAGCCACCTACTCAGGTGGATTTGCAGATGCTCCACCGCCAGGAGTTGGCATTTCACCAGCCAACAGCCCCTCAAAGATCTGCCTTTGCCAGCATGGCAGGGCCACCTCTAGCCCGTGCCTATGTTCTGCAGTCCCCTGTCAGCAACCTGGAGGACCCAGGCAGGAACATCCTGAGGTTGGGTCATTTCACTGCTGCAGGGCCCACGGCTGAAACTTCCAGAGGGAGGAACCCCCCAGAGTCAGCAGCACCTCTTCCTGTCTCCAGCACCGAAGAGAAGGCCCAGCTTGAGTCATGCCCCTTGGTGACATTCTTTAAGTTCCAAGCCACTGCTGATGTCCAGCAGCAGCTCCAGCTGAGCCCTCCAAAGCATGGCATGCTAGGAGTGGACTCCAGCAGGAATGGCACTGAGAATTTGGCAGAGGAGAGTGAGCCGTCGGGATCCAGGCAGGCACCTCATCCTTCAGCCTTCCAGAGTCCAGAGAGCCATCCACCTGCAGCCTCAAACAGAGGTAAGAGAGCCCAGAGTTCTGTGCCTGCAGGGGTGTGGGGGTGTTCTTTTAATCACTTTCCCAAAATAGCAAAGGAGGGCGAGTTCACATCACTGCCAAGGTCTATTCTGCAGCATCTAAGTAAATCCCTTGGATTTGGGGCACTCTTGTTTCTACTCAAAGGGACTAAAAAGATCCCTGCCTGAAGCAATTAGCACTTCTGTAGGAAATGCCCTTCCCTGAGTTACCCAAAGGTGTTCTTGGCTGCAGCCTAGCCCTAACATCCCAGTGTTGAACACTTTGGTCTTCCATTTTATGTAGTATCCCCACATGGAACATTGGCTGTACTTGAGACAGTCCCTATGAGAAACTGGAGCCAGAGATGGGAACTTGGTTCTCAAGAGAAGGAAACAAGGGGAAGTAACTTAACCCAGAGAAATTGTGGCTGAAGCCCTGCCTGCACCAAAGCCAGTGGCAAAAGATCCCAGCGCTGGCAGTGGCAGAGTGTCAGCCCTGCATGGGAAGTGCCAGGAGCTCCATGCATTGCTTTAGTCCTTTCAAGAATGAAGGTTTTCATATGCACTGTCCTGCAGCGTGGGGGCCTGGGTACATGCTTGGGAAGGGCAGAGGGTGCTGAGGCAGCATTTGGGGTCTGCCTGTGATGTGCTTACACTGTCGGTGCTGGTCCTGAACAGGCTTGGGGTTACAGACACTCGTGTTCCTTGTGGAGCCACAACCACACAAACTGCCACAGTTGGGTTTTGGGAGCATTATTTGACTATTTTCATAGCTGACATCAAGTGTCATCTGAAGGGACTGGACATTCACCTGGGAATGTCTGTGTAGTGTCTGTTCCTGCCAAGGTAGCTGGCTCATGGCTCAGAAGAGGCCTTGGCATTATTGATTCATGAGCCATTGCTCTCTGCACCCAGAGCAGTCAGTACAAAACAGGCCAGAAACCCAAACCAGTGGGACAGGGATCAGAGGAATCCACCTAATCCATCCACAATATGTCAGGATGACAGCTAAGCATGTACAAAAGAACCTGGTACAAAAAGGGGAACCTATAGATGTTGGCTCACGAGCCCTTTCCCATCTCCCCCTCCTCAGTCCTGGACAAGTCACAGGCAAGCAGATGGAGCTTTCCATCAATCCAAAGAATTAATTTCTCACGCTACATTGAACTAGGTAGATGTGGTATTGCCATGGCAACTTAAGAGAGAGCCCAACTGGAATCCTGGCAGTCCTTTAAACAATATAATAATACACGTTTACTCACCTGTTTGTTTTCCCTCACCATCCTCCTCAACTTTTGGTTCATGCTTTTATTTCATGATGACAGGGAAATCTCCCTGTCTGGCAGTGAGGAGGGCCAGCAGCCAACAGAGAGGGAGCAGGAAGGAGCCCAGCCCTCCCTGGAGAGGTGGGTGCTGTCAGGTGCCGCTGGTTGTGGAGAACACAAAACTGACCCACAGCTCTAGGGGAGGGGTTTGAGAGAGTCCTGGCCCCCAAATGGCTTTCAGAAGGGAGGTGGACACCATCCTGCATCTCCTTGTGTTTTACTGATCTTTGTGAATTCTCGCTCTCTACAAAGCTGTGTCTTAACTTTCAGGTGTTCTGCAGAAGCAGGAGAAAAAGAAAAACTGTCCCACTAGTGACATAAAGGTGTTCAAAGACTGGCTGATGTTGCACCACCCCTCTGAGACACGTGAGATCCACACGCTGCCACCTGAAGACCTCGACCGCTACCTGGTCTCATTCTTCAGCTCCACCAAGAGACAGGATGGCACAGATTTTTCTGCCCATTCCTTTGGCTTCTTGCAGCGCAACATCGAGCGGTACCTCAAGGAGCACAGCTACCAGTACAACGTGGTGAGAGGGCTGGAGTTCAGGGCCTCTCAGGAGGCTTGGAAACTAAAGTATCAGTGCCTGTTCCAAAAGAAGAGGGAGGAAGAGTGGAGTATTTTGGAGAACCTGACAGATGAAGATGTGGAAAACCTTCGTAAGAAGGGAATTTTAAACAGGATGGACCCTCAGGGCTTTCTGCACCTCATGTTCACCAGCATTGTTAGGGGGTTTGGGGCAAGCACCCACCGCCAGAGCCACCACCTCTACTGGGGACAGCTGGTGCTGAGGAAGAGTGAGGGAGAGGTGGAGTACTTGGAGTGGAAGGATGATCTGAGCCCAGAAGGAAACAAAGGGGAGTCAAGCCCACGGCTCTTTGCCAAGCCTGCTGATCCAGAGAACTGTCCAGTCACCAGTTACAAGGAGTACGCCAGGAGGAGGCCCCCGGACAGCCTGAACGACAGCGATGCACTTTACCTGGCTCCCAGGTCACAGTGCTCCAGCTGGGACGAGGTGTGGTACTTCAGCAAGCCACTGACAAGAGCCAAAATGGAAAAGATCTTGAAAGTTATTACCCAGCAAATCAGAGGAGCCATAAGGAAGCCCAGGCAATAGAGGTGTCCCCTCAGCTTTCCCCCTTAAACCACTCCAAGGCTCCTCTGAAACAGAATCCTGTCGTGATATTTGGTGTAGGCTGAGAGCAAACATCCTTCTGCTGGTCTTTGCCTTGGCACTGAAGGCACCTACACATCTGCAGCGCCTCAGCTTCAAGGTAAATTCCTCTGTTGTTCTTTCTGTTATTGGAATTGATAATTCAGTGAGTTAATGAGAATCTTCCGTTTCACATTTACGAAATGAGTTAATGTTCTACTGTACAGTCAGTGCCATGAGAAACCACCAGTGCTGACATAGAGGTCTTGAGGGTGGCACAGCCCAGCCAGGAGTGTCAACTGCACCTTCATTTTGGGGGCTGACACAGCTCAGCCCGGGGCACAGGCCTGCAGGGAAGGATGAGCAACACGAGGAGAACGACGACGTTGCTGATCCCCATCTCATGGGATTGCTTCCAACAAGGTTCAGGTCATTTCCCTTAGTGAAAGATTCATAGATTGCAGAAGTTGTGGCTGTTTTAAGAAGTTATTTAAAGTGTCTGACAGTGTTGAAAGGTTTTATGGTAAGTGGTTTCCCTGGAGTGCAAAATGCAGCTCCCCAAAGGCCCTGGGAGATGTGCCGAGCTCTGCTCAGGGCTGTTCAGTGCCTGTTACATTCCAGTCACATTGTTGGTTGCATTGTTGACAGAACCAAATAAAAGAACCTTTAGCTCAGTCCTGTCTGTCTGTTCTACCAGGTTGCAGCAGGTGCCCTGAACAGCGGGTGGTGGCTCCCTGGAACACCAGCATGTTCCACGTTGTTCCCTGCAGTGTCCCTGGAACACCAGCGTGTTCCACGTTGTTCCCTGTGGTGTCCCTTGCTCCTGGCCTGCTGGTGCAAAGCTCTCCTAGGGGGAGTTTGGGCCCTTTGAAGCCCTCCGAGCCACCTCCATGGTTTCTGAACAAGGCCTTGGGGGCCAAGCCCTTTGCCAGAATCGGTCCTGTTTGAGGAATTTCACACCACCAGATAACTTAGGGATGTTTGAAGAGACATAAAGAAAGACAAACTCAGTTTGTCCAAAGTGCTGAAGGGCGTCTGCCTGTTCCCCTAATGCTGCTGAGCCCTGAGGGCATCACGAAGGCCCCACGATGGCACAGCCATCCCAAAGGGCCCACCAGTGCCCAGGTGACCCAGCTGAGGGCACAGCTCTGCACCCCGTGGGGCCAGGCTTCTCTCAGCTCTGAGACCACCACTGGTCTGGCTTTTTCCTCCCCTGTGCTGATCAGTTTGGCCCACACCTGCCAAAAATACCCGGTGGCACAGTCAGCCCCCTCCAAGCTGTCACAGCACCTGGGCCCCTCCCAGCTCCCTGGGGCTCCACCAGGAAACTCCCCCAGTCAGCACCCACAGAGTGGGGCTGGAGTCCCAGTGGGGTCTGTGCAGGGACCCTCCTAGCAGGGGCAGCCAGGCACAGACATTTCAGTGTGCTTGGGGTCAGACAGGACCTTAAAGCCCCCTCGATGCCAACCCCCAGTGCCATCCCCACCCCAGGCAGGGACCCCTTCCCCCAGCCCTGGGTGCTCCCAGGTCCAGCCAGTGGGACCCTGGTGCTCTGCGAGCCCAGCAGCCATTGGGACCCCCAGCCCCAGCTCCCAGCAGCCCCAGCCCCACATCCCAACTGTGGGTCTCTTCCAAAACACCAGTGCAGAACCAGCAGAGCAGGTGGACAGAACAGGCTGGGAAGAACAAGAGAGCAACAACTCTTTAATAAATTAGCAAAATAAACAGCATTTATATATATATTTATATTCAATTGCTGCGTCTCCATGGATCACAGGAGTTAAGCCAGTGTTGATTCCCCAGTCTCATGGCAATGCTGATCCAGAGGCCTCAGTCCAGGTATCCCTGAGGCGATGCCTGGCCTCGTGGGACCTAAAAACCTGAAATCACTGAGAAATAAAACAGCTTTTTTGTAAGCCAGAGACACAGTTCCCAAGGGGCAAAGTGGGTTACCGGATGATTTCACCTGCTGACTCAGGTGGAAGTGATTAAAAAGTACTGATCCAATTTTTCCCCTCTTAAGAAAATAAAAAAAGTGTTCCCCCACAGGGAGGGGGAGGAAGGAGCAGATCTATTGCATGGAAGGATTATCAGTGACAACAAAACAGATTGATTTGCAGGGTACACGTCTCCAGTTGTTGCAGTGGCCAGGGGTGGAACTGATTGGGCATTTGGTCACGAGTCAGTCGATCCCAAACAGGGTGAGCCCCGGCCCAGGGTCCCTCAGTCCTCGTCGCGGACGTACTGCCCGGCCTCCCAGCGCTGGGCCATGGCGCTCTTGTGACGGATCACCCGGGTGCTCTCCACCACCTGCAGAGACCAGAATGCACAGGATCTTTGTAAAGAAGGGATTTTTATAATCAATCTGTTTTGCAGAGCTGCCCCCCTGCCAGCCCCCCAGCCCGCTCTGCTCAGTGCAGTGCCCACTCGAGGGGAGCGTGGGGGAACAGGGGTGTCAGGGCAGCGTGAGCAGAGCCCCCGCCTTCCTGAAGGACTTTACCTCTGTGTTGACCTTGTCGATGGGTTCTATGCCTGCGTACTGTGGAAAGGGGAAGACAGGATCAGATAATGGCAGCCTGGCAGGGGAATATCCAGAGGTGGCTGGATCCAGCCCCCGGGGTGGTCAGAGGAGGGGAGGCACACGCAGTCGTGCCCTCCCCGGGGTGAGGGAACGGTTCAGTCCAGGTTCCCCCCAGGAGGAAGCTGCTGCTCCTCTCCAGTCCCACCCAATGCTGGCAGCCCTGAACAGCACGTGCAGCCCTGGGGAGCTCACACGGCCCCTCACTGGTGCCACCACCACCGGGTCTCCCACCAAGCCAAACAGCTGGACCTCCAGCTCCAAGTGGGAGCCAGAACAGCCACCTCCAGCTCCAGAGCCACCAGTCTTCTCCTGGGCTCCAGCCCCCCAACCACATGCTGCCCAGAAAGAGCAAGGTAGGCACATTCACCTTTCCATCCTCCTTCACCCTCCTCCTCCTCTCTTCGCAGGGGCTGGAATGTGACGAGTCCGGGGTGGGGGTCTCCGTGCTGCCCTGGGAGGAACTGGCCACTCTCAGTGGGGTGAAGGACGACATCAGCCCCAGGATCCCCGTCTGGTGTGAGGCAGGAGTGGAGACAGGAGACCCAGACACCGAGTAGCTGCCACTGGCACCTGAAGCAGCTTTGCAAGAAAGCATCGGGGTGTGAGGGACTCCAGGACCACTCCCAGGGGCTGGAGACCCTCTGGAGAGCCAGGCCCCTGCCCCAGACCCACGTCCGCAGCAGGTCCGGCAGATTTGGTCACAGCTGGGGCCCTGTGTCTGGGCCCCAGCCAGGGACTGCAGGAGCTAGGAGGGGAAGTGCATGAGCTGGGCCCTTCCAGCCCTGTTTGCTGCTGTAACGTGACACAAAGTCATCAAGCCCTGAGCAGCTCGAATCAAAAGCCATGCTGCTCCTGCGGCGCCTATTCCTCCTCAGCAGCAGTTCTCCTGCTGACTCCAGTGTGTTGGTATCAAGTTCTCCTGGGACAACTTGCTACCAGCGCACAGGAGCCCTTATGGGCATCCCACAAGATCGTTGCTCTACCACTCTGCCCCTCTCCTCCCTTACCGGAGCTGTGCCGAGAGCGGGAGCCCTCCTGGGGAACACTGTCTCTGTAGTTGTTCATCAGCCGCCGCCGCTGCTCCTGCAGCTCCTCTTCCCTCTGCAGGTCGCTCCGGATCTCCTCCTCAATCAGTGCAGACGTCTGGGGCTTCCAGGTCCGCAGGCGGTACTGCTCCTCCCGGCCGTCCTCCCTCCGCAGCGGGCTCTGCGTCCCCATGTCCTCCGCGAAGGAGACCTTCGGCTTCCAGAAGGAGAGGGAGAAGTACTCTCTGGGCAGGACAGCAGTGCCGGTGGGGCTTGGGGTGGAGCCGGGAAGCTTCCCTCCCCAGGAATCCTTGCTCCCCCATTTGCTGGCACTGGCGGAAGCGTGCTGGGACACCGACGGCTTCTCCTGGCTCCTCTCGCTGACGGTGAAGCGCGGCTGGGACAGCTGGAAGTGCGCGATGCTCGCTGTGTAGCTGGGACTGCTTCTCCTGCCCCTGGTGTCTTCCGTGGGGCTGGGGCTCGAGGGCTGCTCCGCCACAAACTCCTTAACCCAGCTCCTCCGCTCCTCTGCCTGCCTTGGGGCCGTGGACTTCTGCGGGGGGGCTTCCTCCTGCTCAAACACCCTCCTGCGCTCGTCCAGCTCCTGATGCGTCCCCCTGTCATACGCCCCCAGAAGCCTCCCTTGCCTCTTCAGATCTTCCTCTCGCTTGGTTTCCTGCTCGATTTCCCTCTGGACGTAAAGGGAAGCACGGCCTCTGTCCTTCCCTTTCCTGCCTGGGCCGGGAGAGCCATGAAGGGCGAGGACAGGCTTGGTCTGGATCTCCACCAGCTCGCTGCTGGAGGTCAGCCGCTGGATACCCCTCTCTTTCCAGAGGTTCTCCTCCCTCTCCATCGCCATGCGGATCTCCCGCTCGATGGGCGTCTCACTGCTGACCTTCGTCTCCTTGCCCAGCCCGTTGCTGCCAGCCCTCAGATCCACGAGGCCACTGAAGGTCTCATTGGAGGCACTTCCATCACTGCCGTAGCCTGTGTTGGCTTCATTGTACATCTCACCCAAACCGGAGTCCAGGTCCTCTCTGGACAATGCTTTGGTCAGGCTGGACATTTTCACAATGGGATATGACCTTTCAATGTGAGCTTTTCTGGGAGTAGAAACCTCCTCCTTCTCGGGTGTCTTGTAGGACACATTGTAAACCTGGTAAACACTCTTGTCCCTCCTGCTCTGGCTTGATGTACCGGCACTACCATAACCTCTCACAGCCTTCGTGGCCATCTCAGGGCTATGCCACTCTTCCCTGGAGACTTTTGTCACTGACTCTGGCTTAGGGGATATAGCCTGCTGCCCTGGGCTGAAAAAAGAGCCTGGGCTGGTCTTCTCTAGCATCAGAAACTGCTGCCGAGCCGCGGAGAAGTTGATCTGCTCTGTGTCGATATTGTCAGGGTCCACAGGTGTCGCAGCCCTGCCTGGGGAAGGTTTGTCAAAGCTGATGGCAAAGCTGGTGGTGACACTGCCTGCATGCCTGCCTTCACCCTGGCTGCCCATGCCAGTGTTGATGGAGCTCAGCTCATCCATGGAGCTCCACCTCTCAGCAATGGTAGAGCTCTTCCTCATCACCTGGCTCCGGATGACCTCCCTCCTCTCGTCCTCAAGCTCCCTGGCTTTCTCAGGTGAGATGTTGGGTGGAGGGACCCTGTACACGTCCTGTTCCTCCTCGTCATAGAGCTTCGAGGGTTTCCTCTCACCCCTGTAAGCCCTGAGGTCGTACAGGCTTCCCGACTTCACCACCTCCAGCTTGGACTCTCTGTCCGGGGACGGGGTCCAGACATCTTTTCCACCCTCCAGGAAATATGAGGGTGACTGGGACCTCCTCTTCCAGCCATAGCCATTTTCTACCCTCTGGGTGCTGTGTTGAGTGGAGCCAAACACATCGTCGTCGCTGTCAGCCCTCAGCTCTGCCAGCGAGCCGGTCTGGTGCCCATCGCTGGAGTCAGGCCTGTGCGAGGCCTGTGGGAACTGGAACACCAGATGTCTGGTGACTCTGTCCATCTCCTGGGAAGAGCCACCCCTCTGCCAACCTGTCTTCGGACCGGGGCCGCTGCTCAGCTTCAAGGTCACCCACGAGCTTCTGGCTCAGCAGAGGCCAAGGGGCCGGACCTGGCTGTCCCTGCAAGCAGGAGGGGAGAGCAGCTGTTTAGAGCAGCAGGAGGAACGGAGGTCAGGGCACAGCCCCTCTTCCAGCCTGGTACCACTGTCCTTGCTGGGGACAGACACCAACCTGCCCCGTCTGGGGCAGCAGGCAGAGCACAAAGCACCGTTCCCAGCAGGAATTGCCACAGAGCCCAGATCCCCCTCTGACCTCTGTCCCCCAGCCTGGGCACGTTCCAAGGGTGCACAGCCAAACCTGCCGCAGGTTCGCGGCACCACCAGTGGCAGTGAGACCACAGCCACGGCCCGGCTGGGCACTGCCCTGGGCACAGACACCCTCTGGTGTCGTGTGGGCCTCTCCACATGCACAGGGCAGGGAGGGACCTCCAGCCCCTGGCGGCACCAGCAGGGAGAGGTGGCAATAGAGGCACTGAGGCCACCCCTGCCTGGAATATCTCCTCGTGCATTTACAGGAAGGAGCCTCCAAGCAGCCGAGCTGTAGAAACAACTGGGTCATAAAAGTGGTTTCATGGCTCATAAAATGAGGGGACTTTAACCCCCCTGGCATGCAGGGCGGGAGTGAACGGCCCTGACCTTGAGGTTGATGCTCCAGCGCTGGCTGGGCCAGAGCCGGCTGGGACAGCGGGTGCCAGGCAGGGAGGGGCAGCACAGGTGGGTCCCCATGAGGCAGCAGCTCTCACCACACCTCAGACACCATCCCGGCCCCAGCGCCGGGGACACCAACGTCACCCACGGACAAGCCGGGCGTGCCCAGAGCCAGCAGCACATCCTGTCCCGCTGTTTGCCGAGGCTTAGCCACAGCCTTGCTGTCACCCGTCACCACTCCTGAGCCCCAGCAGGTCAGGGTGTGTCACTGCCGGGCACTGCTCCGGAGATCTCATGGCCTGCTGGGAGCATGAGGCAAAACGGGAGCAAGCCCACGGTGATGCCAGGGGCAGCCCAGAGCTGCCGTGGTACTTGCAAGCACAGCTCAGGGTGAGGCTCCCCAGGACAGAGGCAGGTGCCTGGTGCTCCCCGTATCTGGAGCATCCCAGCTCATCCCCAGGATGAGAGCACTCTGGATATGGCTCCTTCCTGCAGCAACACTGGTGGCTGAGCTTCCCCTGCTCACCTCCAGCCCTCCTAGGATGCACTGTCCTCCCACAGGGCAAGTGGGGTTGGGCTCCAGTCAGGAGCTGTTTAAGCCTTTCCTGGATCTCATCAGCGGCACCTGGGATGTCCTGGCTGCCCATGCCCAGCCCCGGTGGCTCAGCCTCTCCCCTGCAGCTCTGCTCTGCTGAATTTCCCTGTAATTCCCCTACCTGTGATTCAGTCTTGCTCTTTCATTGCCCCTGGTGACCTGGATAGTGAAAACCACCTGACCACACCTCTTACCGTGTTTGGGGTGGTCGAGGTCCTGGCTGGAAGGGGACACCCCCCCGGGGAGCGCTGGCAGCTGGCACAGGAGGGGAGCAGGGAGGAGGAAGCCAGCTGGGCTCTTATCAGGGCTGCTCCACTCGAGCGGAACGGCCCCTCCCAGAGCTGCGCCCAAATCCATCCACCTGGCTCAGCTCTGTCCGGCGCTGAGGGACGGTCGGGGTTTAGGGGTCCCGGCCATTCCCCCTGGGCCAGGCTGCCCCCAGCCCAGCCAAGCACCACGAGAGGTGCTGGCCAGAGCAGGTGGCATTGCAGCCCCTGCCAGTCTGGCCTGGGCCCCCCCACTGCAAGGAGACATCTGGGGCGCTTTCCAGGGCCTGCCTGTGCCAGGGGTTCTGTGGGGCTGCAGAGCTGCAGGGCCTGCTCCCGCCCTGTGCCGGTGGCCGCGAGCGCTCCCAGCCCGACCGACGTGCGAGGCGTGTGGCCAACGTCCCTCCGCCCGCCCACGGGCTGCACCAGCCCTCCCTGCACACCCTCGCTGCCACCGTCCCTGGCTGGGCACCGGTCCCTCCGAGGCTGGGGGACATGGTGGCCCCCCAGCACCTGGCACTGCCCTCACCCCCGACCACGCTGCACTTACTGTCCAGGAAGCCGTCGGGGCGGGGGTCCCC